GGCGTACATCTCCGTACGGCTAAGACGGAGCTCTTGCTTCTGGTTCATCACAATACCCCAGATGTCAGGTTTTTGCAATGCATAATCACCATCAACTCTCTTATCCACACGGCCCTGGGAGGCTTGGTAATGGGCGACACTCTGTTGCCTAAGCTCTTGAGGAATGAGCCTTTGGGCTATCGAAGCCGTCCAAGGCCAGTAGCGCGCCAGTCTGCGCAAGGCGTTGGTCTTCATGCTGATGAATACCGCGGCCACCCAATTCATGTTGCCGGTCCCAAGCAATAGATCCAAGGAGTCACCGAAGGTCAAATCTCCCATGATATCAAAAGTTGTCAGATTAAACATGTGAACCATATTAACCTTTGCCTTGGGATTCTCCTTGATTGTGCGGTTGAGATTGTCAACTAACATATCCACGTATCCGCAGATCAAGGACTGCTGTTCCCGAAGCGACCGGTCAGAAAAGGCATGCGAGAAGTTGCGACGAAAACGAGAGTGATCAGGTCCTTTCGCCCGGATAATATCCGGAGCTCCATTGAAGGATGGACCATAAAACCGAGTGTCTTTCTCAGTAACTTTTTTTCCTGCAGCTGCGTGGCCATATATTCCCTTCCATGCCTCTCCAGTGGCGTAGCTTAACTCATCCGGAGCGACACGAACCACATCACCGTAGGTGACATGCAGTCCAGTGACCCACTGAAGCAAGTCGCCTTTAAAAGTGTGATAGAGTTGAGGTATGCGCGATGCAGCTGCGAACTTTGGCCCCGGATACTTGCCAAGGGGGTTGATGAAGACTTCATAATAGACCTGTGAGAGCAAAACAAGCAGAGTCTAACCAGGCCCGGTCAGTAGGAACCATCTATTGCAATAGGAAGTCAAACGTACCGAAGTGAGAGTGACTGAAATGTAGTGCTCATGAATAAAGCTTGAGGCGGATTGAAGGAGCATCTTGGGCTTGCACGAAAATATTCTTTCTGGTCAGAAGGAATAGATTGGCTGGAATGGCATTACAACAAGACAAGAAGATAAAGTGGGAGATATTTGACATATAATATATCAAGATACTGGCCGTCATGTCATACTATTTTGACATTATGCAGAAAAACGACTGCACAGCACTGTGGTCGCGCTAACCTTCAAATTAACCTTGCACATCGTCCTAAAGATTGTGGGGTCTTCAGCGTTTCAGATAGTTACGCTGTAAATACCGCGTATTGACCAATGCATCCACAGCTGGATGTCATTGGTGTTCATTTTGTATGTCATGTACCCTGAAGTATCTAGACATAGTGCTGAAAGTTGCTCCTTTCGTTTGGGTACATACGCAAAACGTCTTCCGCGGAACCAAGAAATAAACTTTTGCATTTATTTCCGCATCGGCACTTGGCACCAGTGGTAGCTACGTGGCGCCGCAAGTCTTTGGCCCCGCGCCACTGTATAGGTAATATTCTATTTGATAATTTTGATTGTAAGAAACTATGAATGATAGATAACATTGAAAATAATGCTTACAATTTCCATAATAGCTAATCGCAGACCAAGCTAGCATGTTGAATATGCGGAACGAAAGAAATGGAAGGTGCAAACGAGCTTCCATATTCGACTTGAGGGTTGTGCCCAGGTGTATCCGATCAAGGAATCATTTACATATTACAAAAGATCTCCCCCAAAGTGAGTGGTAGAATAGTCCACAGAAAGTGCATGTGGGGCTTTGAACGCCATATCTTCCAGGTCCATGCCCATCAGAAGTTGACACTGTAAGTCATCCATTTTGAATGGCAAGCAGTCGGTCGCAAAATTTTCGGACATTGCCATGGAAAAGGGCAGGAAGTTCGGATTACTGGGCTCTGAGTGGGTGGCAGCTGGACTCTTCTCTTGTCCTGGTCGATCCACAATTGTTCTCCAAAATGTCTCAGAGAGTGTGTCCAAATCCGCAGAGCAGTGAAAGGGAGCTTTTTGATTTGCTTCATTCTGGCTGGGTGGAGATGCAGTAAACTCGTCAAAGGGTCTGAACCTATCGTAGGGTGGTAAAAGATCCCGTAAATATTGATATACCTTGGATGCCGTCGCGACAGAATTTGATAGCGTTTGAAGAAGTTGACTGGCAGCGCACACCATCCCCTTCAGAAGTTCACCTGGAATTATAGGCTTTGGATCACACTCTTCTGGAAGGATATGGTACAGTATCTCGACCAGTGAGGTGGTCAGAATATACCCAGATGGCTTCAAAGAAGTGGCCATAGTCATATAGCTTCGAATTGCTTCGATGATTGCTTCACAAATTGAAACCGATGTTTTGCGACGCTCGATATCATGTTCAGTAAACGTGAGAGGTTTATGGCGAATACTCAAACGAAGGGATTGGAACCGCTATAGAATAAGTCAGCGTGGCCATGCTTGAGTGAAACGAGGTTCTAGGACTTAAGCTCTTACCAAAAATACAATAAGTCTCTGGCGAATGTGTGTATCTCCTTCGACGCACATATACTCTGCGACCATAGACGATTTCCAGTGAAGGCTTGCCGGTATTTGCCGGTATGAAAGAACAATCCGTGTGTCCATCATCTGTGATTCCTCCCAATCATCAACCTTCGGAGCTTGGGGTGAAAAGAAGCCATCCCAAATGTGAGCCCACAAGCGGCTGAATGAGATCAAGCTCTGTAAAATTTCGTGTTTGCTTGAACCCATATGATTCTTGAGCTTGCTAAAATCGCTCACAGCGCTCTCATCCTCACGTAGAAAATACGTGATGCCGCATTTCTGCGTGATGCGTTTGTCAAGGAAGTATAGTGTCCACCACAGTCCCTGGCGAGATACAAGATCAGAATCATCATTTGGCCACAGGGTTTGGTTGTTGAGTCCGATTTTCAACGCAATCTGGAACCCTTGTGTGATGCTCTGGAGGGCCATGTGGTGCATCGACATCTCCAGAAGAAAGGCGGACGAAGTAGTGTGATAGATGACAGTTTCAAGGTCACATTCGTGAAGTTTGTTGAAATATTGCATCAGTTTTAGCCCCTGTACGTAACTCTGCGAAACTGGCCGGGGCTTGCAAGATTCAACAGGATGGGTGAGCGACTCAGCATAGGCTAGCATGTTCAACAGAATGGCGATGATCTTGCAATGTTCAGGACCTATCACAATTCGATGGTTTCCATACTCATATCCGTGCAAGGAAAGAACCATTGACAATCGCTCATATATGACGGCCTGGTTAAGACATGGAAAATAGGATTCAAATTCTTGGAAAAAGACGTTGACGAGTTCCCAGAGAACTTGCGGTTCTTGCAAAGTCACTGTGGCCAACCCGGATTGGGAAGGGTCGCTGGGGTCACCTGTAGCGCTAGGCTGCCGTAATTGTCTCAGAGCATTCAGCTGGGAGCCGATCGGCAGGCTGTTGAGCGATGGAGTTGCAACGCCAAGAGTATCAGATTCCATGGGCTCCTTCAAAGGACTGGGGATATCTTGATAGGATCGGAAACTGCCGACCGAGCGATTTTCAAAGATATCGTTGTCCGAGATATTGGACATAGACGGGGACCTCCGTTTGAGAGATTGATCCGATTCAGAAACACTCATATTAAAAAACAGTGCGTCGGCCACATCTTTATCTGTCACGCTGAAGCTTCGATTTTTAGAAAGAGCATTCACTTGATCTTGGAGTTGTGAAAGTTGCTCTTTCAAGGAAATGGACGTTCTGCTTCTTTTCCGCGGACAAGGTTTATGGGATGTCTCTGTAGGGTATCTGGATATCATCAGCCGTCTGATTTGGAAGACCGAGGGTAAAGGTGATCCTCACTCCTCTCTGGTGCGCTTTTTCTGCATCGGTACTTCTTGTTGGTTTCCCCCGGCGTAGTGGCACTGGATGCTTCTGGTTCGACAGCTGGAACATATGGGCTCCCCTGAACACTTTTCGAGTATTAGTGACGTCAAGTTGCAAACAAGATAAGAAACATCAAATGATACGAAACTAACCTTGACTTTTCGTCGTTGGCATTCAAAGCTAGATGGTTAGTTTACGCGTCAGCATGGTAAGTGAAGAGAATGAAGGCACTGACCATGCTTGTGACGTGTACTTGTCACGCTTGGAGCCTTCCTTGCGACTTGTTTCCTTGGGCATGCGGAGTGATGGACGTTTTTCCTTGTTCTCAAAGGGGTATTTCTATTCTATTCTTCTCGACCTAGAGAAGAACGAGGCGAGCAACATGCGATCTCGAATTTAGAAGAAGATAGGTTGTAGAGCCTGCAAGGAAAAGGGAACACCACAGGAGAAGATCAGACAAAGCAGTTGTGGGGGATTCAAGATCCCCAGTCTCACTATCAATGAACCGTGCGGGGAAATTAAGTTCCGGTGTCCCCTTGGTGCTAGCCAGTGGTAAGGAGAGTTATGCAGTGACCTTATCCCCAGTTTTTCAGGCATACCCCGCTTTTTCTTTAGACATCTATATTTATTACTACTAGCGTAATGATGTACATAGTAAATTCGGATCATTCGGATCATGTGCCCAATTTATCCCCTGGTAACTTGAAACCGTCTTTAATTCGACGAAAATCGCCAATCATGGCTTTGGCCATGACTAATTCTCACCTTGCCAGTGGTGGAGCGAAATTTCCAAGGTTGATTTTCACAATGCCACCAAGGTGGGAACAGGCTAATTGCACAACTCTCCCAATAAGACAAAGGATGAGAAGAGAAAATCTCGGACCGGTCTTGATTAAGGCGGTCTATTGTTCAATAAATAGAGACTTGGAGTAGCTACCTAGGTAGTGAATCTCTCCTAACTGGCATCCTTAGTATTTAGGAGGGGGTTGACACGGAATGCAAATTCCACGGAAGAGTCCCGAGCCGCCCGGGAAGAGGG